TATATATATATACACAATCTATAAAAATATAAATATCCTTTTTATATAAAAATATAAGTGTATAAATAATTATAGATTACACATATGAACATACACATATACAAGCACACATATTTATATGTATCTATATATAAATGCATAAATGTCCTTAATATATTTTAAAATTAGTATGTTTGAAATGTTAATTTGACAGATTTTATACTGTTCTTATTTTGTTACATACGAAATTATAACATAAATCCAATATTATTATAGGTTAATGTTTACTACACGTGAGATTACTAATACTTCTTTTCATTAATTTAATATCAGTAAAAGTGTAACAGATCATTTATTCATATATTGATATATAAGGAAAATGATAAGCGCTAATCATTAGAATAATAATTACGTACCTACCGACTTTTATCTTTTTATTCTTACTTATTCTTCTTTATTCTTTTATCTTTTTACCTTCTTTTATCTTTTTATCTTCTCTCAAAATATCACCTCACATCGCTATGAAGCTAATCCGATTACTGCTGAGACAGGTTTTACTAAAATCTGATTAAGCTAGGGAATTTTTTGAAATGGGTCGATTGAGTACCACTGTTCAGTCGGATTTCCAATCCGACAACTTATCGTAAACACCTATAGAGATTTACAACTTCAATAATGTTGTCAATTCACAGATTTAGGCTGCGTTCCGAAATTCACTGCCAGTAGTGAAAACCTATAGTTTATGTCACGTATACTATAGATGTTCAGTACTGGCAGTGAATTTCGGAACGCAGCCTTAATGTTCTGCTACCCAGAGGTTTTCAATGGTACCAATATATTCCCCATCTAGTTTTCGGCATAATGTCGCGTAACCGGAAACGGAATTATTTCGATCGGAATTGATTCCGAAGAAGTCCATAATAGGTATCCAGGAGTACTATTCCTTACACGCTTACCGACAACTGTCGGATCGATAGGTATCGTTGCGCAGCTTTTCTATGGTATAGAAAAGCTGCGCAACGACGTCTACCGATCTGATAATTGTCGATAAGTGATTACGGAATAGGGTCCCAGGATACTTAGAGAACCTCTAGTAAGAAGAGTAGCCAACTTGTGACTAGCTATTCTATTGGCTGGCATAAAATGTACGGATTTGGACATTACGACGCCAATGCAAAACAAATGGTTACATATGTGAGGTTAGCGATCGTTCATCATATTAATAAGTACGTTTCGATAATGATATTTATTACGAAATTTAAGTAAAGTATTTCTTAAGAGAAGTTATAAATATAATGTGATTGGTAAGAAATGTAAATTTAGGCGTTAAAGTTATATGTTTATTATTAGCTATATGTTTATTTAGTTTATAGATAATTATTTCACAAATTGACACAAATTTGATACAAATTTTTAATTAGGTAATTTATTGTACTTGTATTACAGATACCATTATCATACACTATGCCATCAAATTGCACAGCATTCAACTGTTGCAACAGGAGTGATGAAGGTTACGCATTATTCAGATATCCACAAGATGAGACCATGAAGAGAAAATGGATTGTTATGGTTGGAAGAGGTAAAAACTGGTCCCCTAGTAGTTCACAAAAACTTTGCGAGGTTAGTAGCATTTTGCAATATGTTTTTACTTTGTACTTCAGGAGATGGACATATGTAATATATTGTTAGATTTTTAGTATGTTTATTATTTTATACCCGCAGGTACATTTTAAGCCAGCAGAAATCGAATTTTTTGCTGGACGCAAGCGAGTTAAGCTTGGTTCAGTTCCTTCTCGTTTTTGTAGTTGTTCTTCAGGGGATTCAAAGAATAATCATAGAAAGTTGAGAAAAAATGCGGAATATAGGAATAGTCTTTACAAGCAGCAAGTTTCTATTAGAGAACACAATAATTGCTGCATTGTTATGCAACCTCCATTGAGGAAAAATGATATATTAGCTGTCCAACAAGAGGAATTTATTGAAAAAGTTCGCAAAGAAAATGCTGCGTTAAGGACAGTTGTTTTCCTTCTTCAAAATATATTGCAAAATAGAGCACAGTGATCTTGCGATTATAACAAATTTGTATGAAAAACCTATTATTGTTGAAACAGATTGTGATTATATACATTTCTCAAATAGCACAAGATCTTAAAGGGATACCTTGGGGACTTGTGTGGAAATTAGAAGTCCTCGGAATATTTTTAGGATATTCTGAAGACTTAAGCAGACATTTAGCAATCTTCTGAATGTCTTTGGGACATCTTTTAAATCTTGTGCTATATGTGTCGTATAACAACATAAATTATGTAATTGAAAAAATAACTTATTATTATAACGAATTTATTCAATATTATCCCTATTTTATTGGAATCATGTTATGCGTATAAATAGCATATTTTTAAGAGTGAGTCCGAGATGCGCACATTGACAGATGGACACAACTAATCATATGTCGTTGTTTATAGAGTCTCTAGAATATCTCTAGGCATATGGCGTTGTAGTTGGCTGCGTCCGTTTGTCAATGTGCGCATCTGGGACGCTCCCTATTTTTAATTATAATACAAGCATTAGAGGAAGAACAGTAAATTATAATAAAATATATTTTTTATAATCATTTTTCCTATATTTAAAATAAAAATGTAAATGTTTACAATATTTGTGCGAGATGATTTTATTTATTACAATCTCTTTATTATAATCTTTGAAAACAACAAAAAATACAATGCATATTATAATAAGTAAGAAGATATTGTAATAAATCTAACAAAGTTGTACATAAACATATACAAAATAAACAGTAGTATAATGTAATAAATATAAATGCAAGTACTATTTTGCAAAACGCGACCTAAAACTTATAACAATATTCCAATTAATGTAATTATGCTATATGTAAAAATAACATGTTATTGTATTTATCGAAATAGCAATAATGACAGAAAAATAAACAATTCAAATTATTCATTATTATCCACCTATTAAAGTAACATAAATTAAACGTACAAGTTATCATACTTTATAAACATGTATTACTTACTATTACCTACTTACGAACTTATTTAATTATTAATCAGTCAATACTCCAATAAGTAAAAGCTTTGGTAATTATTTATATATCACGAAATATTGCAAAAACGTATGCATTGCATATAGTTTCATTATTTAATATTAATTGTTGGTGCATTGTGATTGTGGTTGTTTATTGGATTGAAATTATCAGCTAAGAGTCTTGATTTCATGCTTTTGCTGTCAAATACAGATGTATTACTTTTATTAGTAGGCATACTACTTAGTTCTGACGATATTTGACACAATCTCATACTGCAATATCTAGAAATTAAAATATCTTTCGTGCCATGACAAGTGATAATGACAAATGTACTCAATTCTTTTTTCAAATGGTGTTCTAATTTTTCTTTCAACATCTTTGATTTTATTCCTACATCTTTGATTTTATTCTTTAAATCTCTTATAATTAATTCTACAGCTTTTAAGAGTTGAAATATTTCATCTGAAACTGAAACAAGAGTTCCCTCCAAATATTCACAAGCTTTCAAAAAGCCACTTCTAGGATACAAATATAAATCTGAATGCAATAGTTTTAAATAACAATTAGTACACTTTATTCATTGCTTAAGCTTGAACACAATATAGCCACACATTTTGTATAAGATCTCTTCTTCTTCGTCCGTTCAAAATTCCATTGTATGTAGTTGTGAAAATAAATTAGGTGGTAAAATGTCAATTTTTTTTTGGTTTCTTATTTCTTGACATAAGGTCAATCAACGTTGAAGATCCATCATAATTGTAGCTAGAATTATTTATCAACACAACTTTACGTGATAAGGCTAATTACTTCAGGCGATTTTTACATTCTAGAGCAGAAGGTTTTGGCCATTGTATACGAATGTTAGAAAATTCATTTTCAATGCAGTTCTGGCTAAAGCGAGCTAAACAGAAATCCAATGATTCTATTTGAAGTAACATCTCTTCAATTTCTAATATACATTCTAAATATATAATTAAATGTGTAAGAGTGACTTTCCAATCCCTTTCAATTGTTGCATTTCTAAAGATAGAAATAAATAAGCGAATAATATATATTGCTGTATGATACCAGTCCATCTTATGAAAACTTAATGCAACAATTTATCGCGTGAAGTCATTATTTTAAATAAATGTCTTAACATTATAATAAACCAAGCTGTCGTTTCCATTATAGGAAAAAGAATTCCTGCAGTTTGAGAACGTTGGTAGCTGTGATCACCTTCATTTTACTGAAGTGATTAGGATGTAAATTTTTTTTCTTCAATTTCGGGTTAAATTTTAGAGTCATATCAGATTGTTTATTTTCAAGAAACCCTACATATCTCATATCTAATGTTTGTAATTTTAAACAATATTTATTAATAATATCTTCAGGTAATTTAATAATACTTACTTTCATTAACATTTCTTTCAAATTTTTAAATGTATGAATAAAATCTGGAATGACATACAAATATCTTGAAGAGTTAAATGGATGAAGAATGCTATATACCATTTTATTTTTTCTGCAGCTAAATCCAAGTTCATTTAAAATACTACGATTATATCATAAACTAAACAAATTACAACAAAGCCAGTTTTTTTACATTCTTTTAATATGTTTAATATTATTTCTTTGATACTTTTATTGTATGTCTATGAAGGTGTAAAGTGCTACAATTTGTTTCCATCTTTTGCGTATACCAGTGAGAAGAAAAGTCATTAACTTACATGCTACTGTATGAGGTACACCAAGTTGTGTATCCAATATGAACATTACTATTCCTATCAAAATCTATTTTCTGTTGGATACTCATTTCATCGAAAACTAAACAGCGGAACTTATGCTTTTCATCTAAATGTTCTCCCATTTCATTAATTAGGAGGAAAATATCTCTCAAAAGTCTTGGTTCGAAAGAAATGTTCTCTATACTCCGCTGTAAAGTTCTAACAGAAGGAAAAGAAGCAACAAATTCTCTTATATAATTCTTATAACTTGCAGTGCCATAAATAAAACGTAAGTCCAGTGTTTTTAAAATGGTTTCTTTTGGCCATTTGGAACCTTTATTAGACTCACTTTCTAAAACTTGCAATTGATCCTCAGCCAACACTTTGTGCATAAGGATAGGTTCAGGTGGAAAAAGAAATAGCGTAACGGAACAGTTACGAAAAAGAAATATAGTGAGGGTCAGCCAATCAAAGTAATTCCGTTTTTATTCCGTTCTGTTGTTTGATAGGTAGGTTTCACATGGCACAGAACTGTTACGGAACGGAACAAAAACGGAAAACATTCTAACCTATCAACATCGAGAATTATAAAATGTGAAACCTACCTATCAAACAACAGAACAGAATAAAAACGGAATTACTCTGATTAGCTGACTCCCACTATATCTCTTTTCCGTAACTGTTCCGTTACGCTATTTCTTTCTCCATCTAAACGCACCCTAATTTGTACATGTTTACTTAGTATTTGAACCTGTTCTTTTAATTTAGAATTTTCTTCATATATCTTTCTATGCTCATCTGTTACATCCATTTCTTTATATTTCTTATTAACCTTTATTGCATTTTTTACTATTTCTTTCAGTTCATATCGTAACTGTTTATTTTCATCTATGATGTTCTTCAGTAAATTCTCGTTTTCATCCACTGGTTGCAATTGGTCTATTTCTTCTGTATTATCTTCGAACTTGCAAACTTCTTCAATAAACTCCTCTTGTTGGATTAATATAACATTTTTCCTCAATGGAGGTTGCATAACAGCGCAACAATTATTTCTAATAGAAGCTTGCTGCTCATAAAGACTATTCCTATATTCCGCCTTTTTTCTCAACTTTTTATCATAATTCTCTGGATCCCTTGAAGAACAGCTACAGAAACGAGAAGGAACTGAACCAAGCTTAAGTCGCTTGCGTCCAGCAAAAAATTCGATTTCTGCTGGCTTAAAGTGTACCTGTGGGTATAAAATAATAAACATACTAAAAATCTAACAATATATTACATACATTTATCTCCTGAAGTATAAAGTAAAAACATATTGCAAAATGCTATTAACCTCGCAAAGTTTTTGTGAACTACTAGGGGACCAGTTTTTGCCTCTTCCAACCATAACAATCCATTTTCTCTTCATGGTCTCATCTTGTGGATATCTGAATAATGCGTAACCTTCATCACTCCTGTTGCAACAGTTGAATGCTGTGCAATTCGATGGCATAGCGTACGATAATGGTATCTGTAATACAATAAATTACCTGATTAAAAATTTGCGTCACGAAATAATTATCTATAAACTAATAATAAACATATAGCTTTAACGCCTAAATTTATATTTCTTACAATCACATTATATTTATAATTTCTCTTAAGAAATACTTCACTCAAGGGGTTAGACCGGTGTGACTGGCCGAGAAAATAGGTAATTTTTAAACATTAATTGCCGAAGATATAAAAAAGTTGTAGACTTATGGTTTGGTATTTTATTTAAGTGAATGAAGATATAAAATATGCAACGTGAGAAGAAAAATAATAATTTTAGTATCATTTATTAAAATGTTATGAAAAGTCAATTTCTTTTGCATCGGTCACTGGTGTCGATGATTTCGCCATATTGGATCGTCTGAAACAAAAAAAGAAATAATATTAAGAGTATTGTTCCCTAAGCATTGACCGAACTTATTCAAAATTTGTTGAAATTTGACAGAAAAAAAAATTATTGAACTTTTGGTTTGATTTTTGGCACACATATTGTTACTTAATTTGTTAGTATGTTGCAAAATAACAATAATATTATAAGAATCCTCGGTCAATGCTTAGAGAAAACTATAAGGATAATAAAAAACCAAAATTCAAGTCAATCCGATGAATACATCCCGAGAAACCTTCGACACCATTTTGAAAAACGAGGTTTCGAGAAAAATGCATTTAAAGTTTTACAACATAGTCTTTATATTATATAGTGCAAACTTTTTTATTCTTACTACTAATCTGCCATGCAACTTCGTAATAATTATCCCTCTCATCGTCGCTTCTTGCTTTGCTCTGCCGTTTCGAAATACGACCTTTTTTAGATGCCTCGAACGTGCGTACTTCAGCGGTCAAAATTCGTTCTTCATTCAAGGTTTCGCAAATGTTTGCTGTAACCGGTCCGATTACTACATTCATGGTATTCATGATTAAAAGAATACTTGAATAACCTTTGTTGAATATATTGCTGCCAATATTGACAGCAATTTCAACAGATTTAGCATCACTAAATGTTGGTTTTGGAGCGAAGGTCCAAATTAACGCGTTCAAGCTCTCGTTCGAATTTTGAGTGTAACCACCCAAACAGCGCTCTAACAAATCATCTTTGCTAAGTTCCTGGTAGATAGGAGTGATTACCTTTATAATATCAGGATGAAGAGCAGGTTTGTGAGTGTATTCACTTAATTTATTTTTCGTCTTTGCTACCTGCCAGGAACACCAAGAACTTGGCCCGGGCGGACAGTTCTCATGTTGCGGTTTAGCGTCAGTTGACGATTTGTGCTTCAACGTTGCCCATATTGCAGTTTTCATATCTTCTATTGAATTTTTATATCTCCTAATAGCAAGTCCGTAATAAACGCTTAATTCATCGATTAATTTTCCAGTAAATTTTCCTCGTCCTCCTAATCCTTTTTCGTTCTTTTTTATATTACGGAGTCGAAAGCCCATCCGCTTTTGAACGTGACCGACATTCTTTTTTAATTATTGTAATGTTTTCCTCGTATGGTTGCGATTCAACGATGCCTTTGTATGTTTTACAATCACCGTCACCGATAAATATTTAACTCCATGCAGATCTTCAGATCTCTTAAACATTTCTATTGCTCCATCTACTTCCATTTTATCTGAACTCCCTTCGTGATTTGCTAAACACGTTTCTTTATGCGATTGCATCCACAATTCGAATTCAACCGAGTTATATTCATTCTTCCAGTATTTGCATTGCTTGCAATACGATGATTTCATGATTACATCTAATACTTGGTCAGAATACCATCCAATTAGCGACACGACACCTTGCAATGCCGTAAAACCGCGCTTTCGCCATCTCCGGAAACCATTAGTCCCGCCGGTTCTGATATCTTTTCTGCTTTTGCCATTAGGTTTTTCTCCTCAGTAACAGCTCCAGAAAATAATAGAGAAGTAACAGTTTTCGACGCACAATGAATGTTTGTATTAATGTCCTGGTAAATCGTTTTAGTGAACATTTTTGACAAATCCATGATACCGCAAAACTTTCTTATTCCATCGTAACCAATACCGAGAAATCTCATCGCGAATACGATTCATCTGTTAATTTCATACGCGTTCTGTATGAGTGGACAAGAATTAATATATCGCGGTTCGCAATTGTACAATTTATTACCAATTTAAATCCAAGTCCTCGAATACTTGACTCAGAGAAATTCAAATTTCCATCACATGTTTTGCACATTACTATTTCACTGAGACTGGAAAATATCGCCAAAAAATTAATAACCGTGCATCGCATTTACCGGTACTTCTGCGTGAGAACTTTTTAGTTTTTTCGCGGATGCACTTGTAGAAGCAGTTTCGCGTTCAAATTCATGACGATTGGGCGGTTTTGGTCTTTTTTTGGGTTACTTGCGCGTCCTAATATTGTCCTTGAACCTTTTCTATTAACTCTTTTTCGGCTCTCCATATTGAAAGTAATATTCCGAATAAAGTTTCATAAAATAACACATGCTATGACATGAATATCATACGACTGACTAACGGTTTCTTTAGCTTTGTATAGGCTACAATACGTTACGTAAAAAGAAGGGATACACAATAACAACATTCTGACCTGCTAGACCTACCTAGCCTGTTAGAACGCGTACGGTCAATCCGGAGCAGCCGGCGCGCAAGAACGAGCCTGTTGTAGGCTAGCTGTATGCCCGATGTAGGCTCTGTAATTCAGAAACTAACTCAAATTTATACTTGGGATCTTTTGTTCCTTATTCTAGAAGTTTCAAACTATTTTTTAAAGTAAAAAAATTCAGTTCTTTGAAAATTTTACACCGGTCTAATCCCTTAAATTCCGTAATAAATATAATTATCAAAACGTACTTATTAATATGATGAACGATCGCTAACCTCACACATGTAACCATCTATTCTGCATTGGCGTCGCAGTGTCCAAGTCCGTACATTTTATGCCAGCCAATCACAAAATAGCTGGTCCCATGACTAAGTTGGCGATTCTCTTTACTAGAGATTCTCTAATGGCTTCTGCACACAGGACGCGATAATGCTTGCCGCGCGACGAAAGTTATATACAGGGTGAATATTATATACCGGAACACCTGAATATCTCGAAAACAAAGCGTTGTATAAAAAAATGTTAAATACAAAAGTTGTAGGGTTTAAAAAGATCTATTTTATGATATTAGCAGTTTGACCTTGAGTTGCGTCATAAAGATCAGGTCAAGGTCACAATGATGTTTTTAAATGGATACCCCCATTTTTTATTGTATATTCTTGTAGCTTATCTCGAGAGCTTTCCAAAACACTATACTTAAGTATTTTTTCGTTAAGTACTTTAAGAGCTAGAAGGTTATTACGAAAAGCAGCATATTGATTGGCTGTCGCGCGAACTTCCGCCGCGCGGCAAGCATTACCGCGTCCTGTGTGCAAAAGCCATTAGTTCCACTAGGGTTGAAAAATGTAATAAGCACAACCATCTAGTATCTTTATGGTTCAAGACAACTCAGTATTGCTTTCCGATGCTCGAGTAGAGTTAGTTAGAGTTAGCTAGAGTAGCATAGCGGATAACGTGAGCATCAGGTAGTTGATTTTCAAAAAATATTAGTTATTAATAAGTTTAATCTCATATAGTATGTTTATACTGAACGTTTAATATGCGTATCAATTAGTAACTTTATATTTAATTATTCTAATTTCGGCGATGCAATATATTCAATTAATACGATACATGTTTCTAATCAATATTGCACTACTTCAATATGACGTTGTTTATATACATCGCCGAAATCAAAATAATTCAACATAAAATTACTAATTAGTACGCGTATTATATACAGGGTGAATATTATATACCGGAACACCTGAATATCTCGAAAACAAAGCGTTGTATAAAAAAATGTTAAATACAAAAGTTGTAGGGTTTAAAAAGATCTATTTTATGATATTAGCAGTTTGACCTTGAGTTGCGTCATAAAGATCAGGTCAAGGTCACAATGATGTTTTTAAATGGATACCCCCATTTTTTATTGTATATTCTTGTAGCTTATCTCGAGAGCTTTCCAAAACACTATACTTAAGTATTTTTTCGTTAAGTACTTTTCGAGTTAAGAGGCTTCAAAGTTACGCTCTTTAGCATTAGCGCGCGTGGATACCGTAGTGACGAGCACGAACGCGCGCTCGTATTAATAGTAAATAGCGTAAGGCTGATGGCCTAAAAAACGTAAACGCAAGGGCAGCTCTCGTTTACCGCGCTTGTGTTTACGTTTTTCTCTGCCTTAGCTTACCTTAATCGGCCGGATATGATTTTCCTCTTGCCTTAATCGGCCGCGCGCTAATGCTAAAGAGCGTAACTTTGAAGCCTCTTAACTCGAAAAGTACTTAACGAAAAAATACTTAAGTATAGTGTTTTGGAAAGCTCTCGAGATAAGCTACAAGAATATACAATAAAAAATGGGGGTATCCATTTAAAAACATCATTGTGACCTTGACCTGATCTTTATGACGCAACTCAAGGTCAAACTGCTAATATCATAAAATAGATCTTTTTAAACCCTACAACTTTTGTATTTAACATTTTTTTATACAACGCTTTGTTTTCGAGATATTCAGGTGTTCCGGTATATAATATTCACCCTGTATATATATGGTTTTGCATCGGCGTTGCAATGTCCAAATCCGTACATGTTATGCCAGCCAATCGTAGCTGAGTAGCTGGTCACATGACCAAGTTGGCGATGGGTGAGACCCGATTGACCACGATACGATTGGATACAGATTGTAATGATTGGTTCGACTTAGTAATTCACTAGATAATTCTTTTCATCGGTTGGTTGTGTCCAATCGTACTGTGGTCAATCGGAACGCTCCCGTTGGCGATTCTTTGTACTAGAGGTTCTCTAGGTACCCAGCAATCTAGGCTGCGTTCCGAAATTCACTGCCAGTACTGAAATTCTATAGTTTATATCACGTATACTATAGAATTTCAGCACTAGCAGTAAATTTCGGAACGCAGCCCTAATTTAGTATAGGCTGCGTTCCAAAATTCACTGCTAGTACTGAAATCTATAGTTCATGTGACGTATACTATAGTATTTCAGCACTGGCAGTGAATTTCGGAACGCAGCCATAGACATCTGTGGACTAGACTTTTGCGCCGTTACATTAAATATCGGCGGCGGCGTCGGAACTAAAATTGGTCGACGGCGGCGGCGTCACCGAAAATTGTCGTTAGCGGAGGCGGCAGGATGGCGTATACAAATTTGATGTTGACGGCGGCGAATGGCAGCGTCACAATATTTTTTTCTTTTAATAGTTTTTACATATAGGACGCAGCAACATTCGTCGTGCAGCGCAAATGGATTAGTCTCGATCTACAATAGATATATAAATAGATCTACAAATAGATATAATAAGCTTTAAGCTTTAAGAAATTTACTAATTATTTACCAATCCTAATTTACCTAATTATTGGAAAATAATCAATCGTGATTAATCAATTTCGGCTTAAAGCACGCTACATCTATTATATATCGAGATTTATGCCTGTATATATAGTCAGTCGTTATATTCAAGGCCTCCTTAAACTCATCTTTAGATGTTCTATTAACCATTCTATTGGCTACGGAGCATCTGAAGATAAATTTAAGGAGGCCTTGAATATAAGACCTGATTATAAATATGGGCATTAATCTCTGGTCTATATTCGGTGATTTAAGACTTAAATCTTAAAAATTGACCAATCACAGTCGACTATTATAAGAATGGTCCAATAGGATTAATCAATTTTTAAGCTTATTTCCTAATATCTAGTTTTTAACGTTGTATTAACATAATTGCGATTAACTTCGGTACTTCAATATTTTCAAATCAGTTTTGCAATATTCAAAGAGATCACATTATCCGGCAATATCTTTAAAATATATTTAAAATATTTAGTAAGAACGTTGAGAAGATACATATAAAATCAATATTTCAAAATGTTAATCTAAAGTTCTTTATTTACTTGGTAATATTTACAGTTATTGAAAAACTTCGCTATTGCAAAATTTCTCTATTATGTTAAAACTTTAATTTTTTTGATTATGTTATTTCACTTCTGACAATAAAAAAATAAACGCGATAACAAGAAAGTACTTTTTTCACATATTGAGAAGCTGATATTATTTTTCCAAATATGGTTATAGTTTTAAGATAATAAATAACATAGTTATTAGTATACCCTGCTACATTTCTGAACTGTTATTCGATTAGAGCTGCATTTGTTTGGAACGCTCAAGTGTTATTCTATTTCTCTTCCGTATATAATGAGCGATAAAAATAGAACGACATTTACAATACATGAACACACAAAGCGAACCCAGCCTAAATCCAATAATAGCTATATAAGACACGAAACAAATCGCAGTCTCTCAAGACCAATTATATGTTTGAAGTATACAAAAAGACTTGAAATATGTTCATTATTTTTTTTATTATAGATTTTTGTTTTTATTCATGAACGCATAAAATATAAATAAATGATATATATTAGTAATTATTTATTAGTAATTATTATTAAAATATTACTAAGTCTCATGTATAAAACATATAATATTAATAAAAAAAATATTTACTAGAATTAGTAAATTTTTATAATTTTGTAAATTATACATATAAACATTTTTAACATTTCTTTTAAAATTTAATACTTAAATTATATTGTACCCAGGAAACACAAAGTATCATCGATGTTACAATGTTAGCTCAATCATATGGTATATTACGTAACTGTTACTTTGTTATATAACAAAGTAACAGTTACATAATATACCATATAATTGAGCTGACATTGTAACATCGATGATACTTTGTGTTTCCTGGGTATATATAGTATTGCATATAATGTAGCTGTTTTACTGACTTAAAATATGTACTTTTTATTAACTCAAAATTATCATGAATGAATAATATTTTATTAGCTTTTGATAGTTTCAAAGAAGAACGTTTTGCTGTAATTAGTAAGCCTGCAGAAGAAAATGCATGTTCAGATGCAGAACTTGTGGTTGGTACAGCATATACACAGCACATTAGTTTATATAAACTAGTTTATATAAACTTGGAAACGAGGACTTCATTTCATTCCACCATTTTAAAAGATCTTCGACAGGCTATGTGGTATGTAAATATTTTCTAATTTCGATAAGAATAGGATCATCGAAGGAAATTGTACTTGTGTGTTTTGCAGCTAATTCTAATCGTAATTTCTTAACTCCTGGAGGCTGATTTGGCTTAATAGGATTATTATTTAATTGTTTGTTTGCTACCTATATTTATATAAAGTATGATTAGATATAGAAACAGTAACAGTATTTAAAAAATAGAAACATACTATATAAAGTAAGGTAATAACTATTCTCAGACAGTATAAAATTTTCCAGGATGTTCGAAAGACGTCCGAAAGACAATCTAAAAAAATAGTGAGATATGTAACGGCACATAAGGAGCAAGCACGGATGTCTTAGTGCTATTAAATACTAATATTACTTTTTAATATTAATATGATTGTGGGAGGATAAAATTGTCCAGTATGTTAAACGCACATATCGAAATTTTTCTTCGATTATCGTATGCGGAGAATCAACCTTCCATATTTAGACCGATCTATGAGTCCCAATTTTTTAAATATATATTTTATTTTATTAAAATCCCAAACCCCATTAAACCGATGACTCAAATAGATTCCTTATAAATGTTGCGAAAAAACTGCCTCCGCCAGGACTCGAATCTGGAACCTCCCCATTTTCCGGGCGGAAAGGGGTAAACAGAAATATTTACATACTTTTCTCGGTACAAATTAGTACAAATTCAAACACAATAAAATCTATCGTTTTCTGTCAGTTTTTACCAGTTTTCATTTTGTTCTCTTTATACTAAGTTAGCAGGACCACAATATTTTTTTAAATAAAACGAGTTACAAAATCATTTTTGATAATACAAAATACTACACGATTAATGTAATTTTGTATCATTAAAAACAATTTTGTATTCCACATCCTTTAAGAGAAATCGTGGTCCTACTGACTTAATATAAAGTCAGCAAAATAAAAATTGTTAAAAACACGAAACAAATAGTAGATTTTGTCGTTTCAGAATTTGTACCAATTTGTACCACCAAAAAAGTATCAAAAATATATTTGCCGTCCCTTTAAAATAACCCCAAATAGCCAAACCTGCGCGAGTAGATTTCGAGCAGAGCTTGCTATCAACTTTTGATGGCAAATAGATAACAAATTTGATGCAGGATCTGTTACATCAAATCTTGCTGCCAAATTGCCGCCAGATATGCGGCAGAGCTTGTTGTCGGATAATTGCTGCAGATTTGCAGCAAAAACCGCGCAGAGCTTGTAGCGATTTGACGGCAGATT